TTGTTGACCTATACTATTTATTAATTTATTTGAAAATTAATAAATATTTGTATTTTTGTATGATATTTTTGTATGACATAAAAAACTTTAATAAATATAAAAATTTCGGATTATAATTTAAGAATTAGTATAATTATATTAAATTATTCCTATTATTTGTCTTACGTCTATTTTTTCTCTCAAATAAATTTGTCGTAACGCGGCATATTGATTTTCAGAACAGATTGATGCTGCAAGATCGTCGAGGAGATAAACGTAGGGAAACTATCCAATAGTACTTCTTTTTCCTATCTTTTCTCGTCTTGCACTATCTTTCGATCATAACGCATGCTTTTCTTCTTGCTTGTTGATGAAATTTGTCAAAGCAAGTAAATGTTATAGAATCTATATTGTCAATTGAAAAGTACAGTTTTCCTTGGAAAATACATATTAATCATGTTTCGTTTGTATTTTATTTTTAGAAATTGCATTATGTATAGATGAGAGAGAAAGAGAGAGAGAGAGAGAGAGAGAGAGAGAGAGAGAGAGAGCAGCTTTTCAAATTAAACAGTTTTAAACGATATGTTACAAATTTTGATTTTTTATTTTATTTAATATATATTGATTACTTAATAATTTGGGAAAAATGTTTGTTTTTTAAAGAATTTATATAATTCTATAAAAGAATTTATATAAGAATTTATATAAGAAGAATTGTTTTAATTATAAGAAAAGTTCTTAATTTATTTTTGTATAAAATAAATTTAAAAAATGTAATTTATGAATAATGTGTGGATTAAATGTAATATAGATTATAAATAATAGCCTACTTTTATTAATTATATTATTAGCAAAATTGGCAATACAATTGCCAAATTAATGAATTTAAAAAATCATATTGGCATTATATAATAAAAAAATATTGAAAAATATTGGTACTCTCAGAATATAAAAATATTGAAAAGATATAGAACAAATAATAAATAAATTATTATTTTGAAATATTCTTATTGATTAATCTTTAACCACGTATAATATAAGTATCACAATATTATATATTGTGATATATTATATGTATAGTATACAAAAAATGAAAATAAATATTTTTCTTAGATATTGTAAATAGTTTAATAATAACAATTTTTATATTACTTAAAGATTTTAATTATTGATTTGTTGAGACTAAATTAAGACAGATAAATCTCTGGATAAATAGAAATTTTAGAAATACTGGGTTGAAACAAAAGTTTATAGCGCTATGAACTTCGAAATTGAAGCTGAAGACTCATTTTATTTATTTTTTGTTTTGTCCTTTTTTATACTACAAAGATACATAATTCACAAAAATAAAGAATTAAAATATACATTATTTATTTATTTTGCTATTTTTATATTACTATAACAAGAGTTAATAAAATTTGCATAGAACGAACGAGTTGACTACGTTTTATCACCTCGACGCCGACTTTGCAACACATATCTCGTAGTTTGCATGGATTTGCGGTTTCATCCTTGTTCGCGACTGTTCTTGGAAATGTCGTAAAACTGTCATGCAGACGGTGCGCAGTATGTATATGATGCTTTGTTTTATAGAGGTGATTTGCAGTAGTGAAAAAAATCAAAATTAAATATTTTCCAAGAATAGATAGAATCTAAAAGAATCTAGAAAATTTATATTTTTTTTTTTTTTAAGTAATGTGTGCATCATTCGTGAAAAAATTTAATAAAAAAATGACATATTATTTTTTAAGATAGAAGTTTCCTATATTCTCCATTATAAATAGAAAATTATTAATTAAAAATAATATTTCTATGAAATTTTTCTATGAAAAAGAATATGATTCATATGGACATTATTATATATAATATTCGAGATTAATTTAATGTGGAACATGTTTCATATTTTTATAAATTGCATAATATAATTGATGAAATTTATTTCAGAAAGTTTTAATATTTATCAAACAGTTGCGCGCTAATTTTTGTGTTAATATGAGATAACAGATCTTTCTCTTTGATGTTGATTTGTAAAAGAAGCAAATATATATCGCAATGTAGATATATGAATATATCTAGTTAAAATTTTTGAAATGTGAATTTTTAGTTTTCTTTTATTTAAAGAGGATACTGAAATACAATTTTTGTTAAAAAGAAAAATACATACTCTTTGAATATAAGCATGTCTAAGAGAATATTTTCTCATCAAAGAAATAAAAGAACCATCTTCTTTTTAAAAATTATTAATGCAGACATCAAATAGTTTCAGCTAAATTACAATATTTCTTGGTTAAATTACTTAAATTAAAGAAATCTTATTTAATCGAAATGTGTAGTTAAAGAAAAGATACTTTTATTTTCTGAAATATTATGCTATCTAATTAAAAAGGAAAGCTTATAAAAATTTTTTATTATTAGAAGTAATATTGAAAAATAAATGAAACGTTTTATATAATAAATTCGCAATATTTATTTATGTATTGAGGCATGTTAAGTAGATGCTAAGGTATGTGTATGCCCTGTATTATAGGCAACCATTCATTCCTCTGATGCAATGTATAATAGATTTGATTGTACTAAGGCGTTATGCAGTGACTCAAACAAGAGGTTGACGAACTTCATATTTTGCTTTGTTGTCTACTTGCTACAACTTTGTTAACAAAGAGCTTTGCTGCATTATTTTGTCTTTTGAAATATGTTTATTCATGCAATTATTTACTGTGAAAATATAAACGTCAAATTTAAGAGACGTATTTTATTAAAAAAATAAATAGATATATTTTTATTATATTATATACGTTTTATTTTTAACTCTAAATATACGAGACATCTCATATGACAAAAATAAAAGGAATTAAAATTGCTGCGATAATAAGATTGTTTTTGATAAATAATTGTATAGACTAATATAAAGTTATGAAAAAAAAAATTTTATTTTTTTAATAAATATATAATTTTTGTAATGTATGGATGCAATTAAAGCGTTTTGCGCTGCAATCTCTTGATTTTCAAGAGCGTTAAATTTTATACCATTAGAATTTTATTTTATTGTAATTTATTCATAGAAGCTTTTTAATAAAGCTTCTATGAATTTATGTTTGCATGATA